CCCCCTCTCTCTCTCTCTCTCTAGCCGCTTGATTGACTCGTATTGGCGTGCTACCGTCCATCCATCCACTTGTTCGCCGTCAGTGTGTGAGTGTGTGTTTAGGAGCTGAGGCGATGCGGCATGGGTCACACAGGCTGTGACCGATCACGTATATATACCCCACACCACACACTGGGGGAGGGGCGGAAGGAGGGGCGGGAGGGCGGGAGGGAGGAGGGAAGTTTAAACGTACGTGTGTGTGAGCGGATGTGCGAGTGAGATTGCGTATGTACGTCTGCGTCTTTCCGTGGTGCGTGGGTGATGCGGTGGTGTGCGCGTTGCGTGTCCTTCGTCCTTCCTCTCTCTCTCTCTCCTTTGCTCACTCTCTCTCTCACTGTCTTTCTCGGCCTATTTGTGACGGGACGACAGCCACACGCACCACTCGCACACACGGCGGCCTCTTCACGGTTTTGTCTTGGCGTGGAGGGAAAGCCACACACTCTTCCTTCCTCACTACTTGCGCACACACCACACACACGTAGAGGGCTGGGTGGGAATGGGGGGAGGTCAGGCACAGGGGCGAGACACCCATGCACACACGACCAGCCGAATGAATGAGAGGATTTTTCAATCATAAGCGGTCAGTCGATTAGTAGAGCCAGTCGGTCTGGTTGGATGTGGCCGGCCTCCGGCTATATCTCCAGCGATCCCGCCGTTCTCTCTCTGATTGCTTTCCTGAGGTTTTGCCCGCATTGCGTTTCCCTTTCATTTTGCCTTGTCTGTCGGGTGCGTACGTGTTTGTGTCACTCATGCGGATGTCTTTTCTCGGATAGCCGCACGCCCCGCAGACACTACAGGACACTCACCGTGCTGTCTGTCTGTCTGTCTGCTGCTGCTGCTCCTGCTGTTGTTTTGTTACAGTATGTGTACGTGAGTGTGTGTGGGTGTGTGTGCGCGTCTGGGTGGGTGGGTTGGCTTGGGTTGCCTGCGTCTGCACATACCTTCCCTCCATGCGATGTGATGTGGGCACACACACACCCAGACAGACAGACAGACAGACCGACATGGGGTCGATCCATCGGATCGATTCATACACTCACTACACACGAGTATAGGGAGAGAGGGGTGTAGATGGCTGGATGGGAGTACCTGCCTGCCTGCCTGCCTTCCTTGATGTGTGTGCCTGCCTACCTGCCTGCCTGTCTCTCTATGGTGCCTGCGTGGTCCCTCACTTGCTACTCGTGGCTGCTGGCTGACGTGTACCTGCCTCTCTCCCTATGTGCCTATGTCCTCATTATGTGCTGGTGGCTGTTATGTTTGTCATGTGTGCCAGCTATGCCCTTCGACTCACCGACAGCTGGTTGGCGAGTGACAGTCTTTTTTGCCCCACCCACCCATGTGTGTCTGTCTGCCTCCTCTCTCACTTTGCCTGCGCATACCACTGGCCGGCAGCCGAGACAGACACATAGGCCGACCGGCCGACCGACCAGACTGTCTTGACTGACTGATTTGCCTAGTGCCTCCCTGCCTCTCTGATGCGTGAATGCCTGCCTGCCTGCCTGCCTGTCTGGCTGCCCTGCACCCCAGGCGCTTTCTCTCTCTCTCTCTCTCTCTTTGCTTGCTGGCTCCATTGCGTAGCATAGCTCCCTCCCGGCCTGCCTTGCTCCCGGGGGCAGACAGACAGACAGACACAGACAGCCCTTGCCTCACACTTGCTCTCTTTCTTGTCTCGTCTCCTCTCTTCTTGACTTACTTATCTCTCTCTCTCTCTCTCTCTGTCTGACGTTTTAAAGCGGTGGAATCAATCAATCAATCAGTGGACGGACGGACGGTGGAACGAGCTAGGAGGTGGGTGGACAGGTAGGTGGACACGATAGCCAAGTGGTGGTGATGTGATGTGATGGGACCGGTGTGGCGATGCGACCGGTGGATGGATGGATGGATGCCTGTGTGCGTGTGTGCTTGGGTGTGTGGCCGGCCGGCCGGTCGGGAGGCTGAGTGGGGACGGATTCACTGCATCAGCGTGGTCGGTTCTCTCCGCCTCCCTGGCCTGGCCTGGCTGTGCGCCACGGGCCATTCACGCACACATGTGTCGGATGGATGCATCTTGGAACTTGGGCTTCGGGTTGGATTGACAGACACGCCAATGCGACTCAACACACAGTAATTCACTCACTCAGTACTCTCACTCCAAACCTCGCGCCTGCCTGTCCTTCTTGACGTCGATTGCCTCTCGGTTGCAGATGAAGGGGCCACTCGCTTGCAAGAGACCGGCTCCGAGGGGCCCCTCTCTTGGGATGTCCTTGGGGAGACACCACAGGGGCTTCTCGCCGTACACGGGCTTATCGGGCAATTGCCCCTGGTACACGCCACACCCGTGGCCTGGCCAGCTGCAGACACACATGGAGAAAGAGCCAGTTCTGAATCATCTACTAGCTATGTTTGATCGGGTGCATGGGCCGCGTACTTACCATTTGTCGCCCTGCACTCCGGAGGTCTGCACGCCCACACAAAAACAAACAATACGAGACACGTGGGCACGAGGGAACGCCGCAAGTCCAGCTCGCTACATGTATGCATACCCGGCAGACTCCCTGTTTGGGTGTCTGCTCGGATTGGGTCACGTCGTCCCAGATCCTCTTGAAGCACTTAAGCTTCTCTCCTTTCTCCTTGCAGTCTTGTCCTTGTCGCAATCAGTCGGCCCGTGGTAACGGATTGCTGCACAGACAGCCAGACAGCAAGGCCGCCACTCAATCGATGTTCCGCGTCGCTGCTCTGGTGCCCCGAGTGCGTGCCCCGCCCACCGCGACGTCTGTTGAGGAGCGAGGCGCTGCAGAGCGACACAGTGGCCACGAGAAGCAGCAGCGTGCGTACGGTCTTAGACAGCACCATCTGAGTCACACAGCGATAGGCACGCGGGTCGTGCAGAGGGCCCACGGAGGTACAGTACTGTACATCATACCAATGCAAAGGTGGGTGAAATAGGGATGAATGGGATAGGATGAATTTGCAAGGGAGGAGACGCGAGACGGGGGCGGGCTGGGGGGGGTCTCGTGGATGCGATTGGTGGAGCTTGCTTGAGGTACACGAGATCTGGTTGTGCCTGTGCAGAACATCTGCGCTGAAGGGTCATCGCTGCAGCACGATTTTGATCATGATAGCGCTCATCCCTGCCGCTCCCAGGACAGATCAGAGAGAGAGAAGACAACGTGTCCTCTACCTCTCCTTGTCTCCCGTTGTTCACTGACCCCTTGTCTTCTCTTCCCGAAGGCTGGTGCAATCTTCAATCTGCTGCAGCACAGTCCGTCAGATTTGACTGAGTCAATGTCGCTCAAGAGTGTGGTATTGGTGCTTGCCTTGGTCGCCTCCGTCTATGGCCAAGGTACGCAGGGCGGACGTAGCACACACAGGAGGGCGTCACGCACCCGCAGTGCAGGGTACATAGATCTGCTGTATCGTCGTTGTGTGTGTTGTTGCGTGTGTGTATGTCTGGCTGGCAGGGACGGAAACGGACTTACTGAGTCAGGCGCGTCGTCGCACACAGGCACAAGGTGAGGTCAGAGCACGCACAAGACGACACGCCTTGATTCGCACACTGTGTGTATGTGTGTGTGTGTGGTGCCTGCTAATTGACTGTCCATGTGCAGCGATCGGCAGCATTTGCCCGACGGCTGTGGACGCCCTGAGCTCGAGCATCAAAATTCCGACGGGAGTCGAGATCGACTACCGCACCATAAGAACACCCTGCATTCGTATCGAGCGGCGGCGCGTCGCAGGGATCCGTGTTCGTGTTCCTGTCGCGGCTACATGCGGTAAGCGGGGCTGAAACAGGAAAGCCAGACAGGGCCGCGAGTATGGAATGCGGGCGACTGTGCGCTCTGGCTGTGTGTACATAGATAATAGGGTGCCCTCGGGTGCATCGATCAAGTATGAGGAAAAGTCCCTCAGCTCGATGATTGGTGGCGATGTGACGAGGACCCTCGAGGCGAGCTGCGAGTGCTTCAAATTGGCTGATAAGATTCTGCGAGAGGGGCTGCAGAACTCCTTTGAAAGCGTCCACTATAGTCTGGCGATCTCTGCCGCTCTCACGGTGGGCACATGAATGAGGCGAGAAAGAGTAATCGTGCGTGTGCATTCGCCTCTCCCTGTTTCTCTCTCTCTCTCGTGTGTGTGTGCAGTCGGGTCTCAAGGTGCAGAACTGTCTGATCGACCTGGGGTTGAACGTGCAAGAGCCGGACAAGGACAATGTCCTGGCTGAGATCCGAGACGGTCGCGGTGCTTCACTGTATCGCGTCACCGAGCTGGAGGAGATCGACTTGGCCTTCTACCAGAAGGTGCGCGAGGCCACTGATGTCAGCCGCATGTGTCGTGCCCTTTCACATCTCAGAGCACGTTTCTTTGTGCAGATCGGTTTTGCTCGGTGCAGGCTGTATATTCCCCGGCGCTTCATGTGACCAACTGATCCACGAATTCCGCCTCTATCTGGTACATACACAGCACATTCACGCCCGACATGACCCCAGATTCACAAACACGCTGCTTCACATGTGCTGCATTGCAGGAGAATTCCGCTGACAGATTGGCCGATGACTTTGTGGCTCTCAAAGACGATATCGTCGATCGGATCAACACTGTCACCTCAGCTGTAACCGATCGCATGAACGTCCTCGAGAGGGTCCCTCAGCTCCTTCGCAAGACCCGTGCTGACCTTGAAGCATGTGCCAGCGAGAACAAAACCAGTGTAGAGCAGTCCCGCATCGCCCAGCTGGACGAGATGGCGGGCAAGATCGAGAGACTGACGACACTCATGGACACCGTCCCTGCGGTTCTGGACGCGCTGCAGGCCGCCGAGGACCTTTACAAGCTGATGAACTATCGGGAGACTATTGCTGAGGCCATTTCCAGTGGCCAGGCACCAGACCTGCCGTCGATGGTGGAGGGGCTGAAGGGAGGCACCAAGGTACGTGAGCTTGTGCCACACCTGAGACACAGATGGGTTACACTGGTGCGTGTGCTGCGTCTGGGGTGTCCGGTAGGTGGCTGAGGCGTTTGAGCAAGTCAAGTCACTGTTTACGGACTTCGATGACGTGTTGTTTGACGTGACCCTGCTTGAGTCAATTCCCGAGAAAATTCCAAGCGAGATGCAGGATTGCATGCGTCGTCGAGGGGAGAACGCTTTCACGGACCTGGACACGGCATCTCTTGGCGTGCCTGACCTCCGAGAAATGGCAGACAAGATAATTGTCACGAATTTGGAAGTGCGAGGCGGCGTGGCCAGCTACTCCAGGTGTGCACGGCTCATACACACACACACTCTTACGCCATGACATGTCTGTGTCTGACTGTGGTGTGTGGCGTACATAGGTTCATTGATATCAGTGTGCCGATGCCGTGCTCGCGGATGGAGGACAAGTGCTTCGAGGTCAAGGAGATCGGCTTCAAGCAATGTGGTAAGTGACCTACCATAGGCCAACAGGCGCTGCATGTACCAGCAGTCAGCATATGTATGTGTATGTGTGGCTTCCTTTCCTTCTTTGCAACAATCAGTGGAGTGGCCTGAGTTCTATAAGTGCACGTACGAGAAGGAGGTGCCATTGCCGAACCACCACATCCCCTGGGTCGGCTTCTACCTCTACGGGAGGTCGTGAGCCGAAAACCAAGGTACGTGGTGTTGATCGACGCGCATTCACTCATTGATGATTTGCGCTGAGCTGATGACGTCATCCATGTGTGGTTGTGTGTGGACATTCTGTCAGGTTCTCAGGGCAACGGACGTCATCCTGCTGATGAGTGCTGGTTCACTTGTTCATTTGCCCTTGTGCCCATTTCCATCGTTCATTCGTTCGTTCGTTCGACATGTATGTATGTATGTATGTTTTCGTGTCAAGTGTGTGTCGGCATGTATGTGTGTATCATGTCTGGGGCCTCTGTCTTGTGATGAGCTGTAGTTCGTAGTGAGCTGTAGTTCAGTCAGTAGTCGGCTGGCTGACTGGATGAGTGAGTATTTCGATATGCACGAGGCCGGTCACGCGGTTTCGTGAAGCTCAGGCAGGCAGGCAGGCAGACAGGTAGGAAGAGTTTGTTATTTCAATGATGTGTTAAGACGAGAGCGGGAGCTTTTGGGTGAAGTAGGTGACGCGTGGGTGGGTGGATGCACTCATTCATGGCGTGCTGTACAGCACTCATCCGTTGGGTGATTCACGAGTGCTTCATCATCCGGTGAAGCATGGATGTGTCTGACTGGACGATTGCCCGTATGTCGGTTGATCGTACACGGGTATACGCTCTGTCTGCCCGTCGTGTGTCTATGTCTGTACGTGACTGCGAGTGTGTCTGCTTTGCGTGTTGTGCGCATGCATCTCGTGCTCCTGTTTATTGTTTGTGTCAATGCATATATGGATGCATACGTTGACTCCCTTATCGGAAGGCCACTGTGCTCGTCGGATGGTGGTATACAATCCATTTGCTCCCACGTTCGCAAGCTCAAAACCTCATGCAGCCTGCCATTCCGCAGCCTGCCATTCCGTTCCCGCCCCTCGCACTTGATGAGGTGCAGATCTGTCGTTTGATTGATGTCCTCGTCCACGCCGCACCAATGGAGCATCTACCCGCACACCGTCCTGGCCTTCCGACCCAGCAAGGACTGGACCAAGAAGCCACACGAGTCAAGACTCACACGAGTGCGCGACAAGTACCGCCGCGAGGGCATCCGCCGCACCGTGTCGGCAGTGCTGCTCATCCACCAGCACGGCCACCCTCACGTCATCTTCTTCCTCCACGAACAGACGCAGACCTACCACCTGTAAGCACAGCAGGCACCTCACACACACGTGCATGTTCCACATGGATGCAGGATCTGTGTGTGTGTGTGTGTGTATGTGTTTGTGTCAGTCCGGGAGGCTGCCTCCGGCCGGGTGAGTCCGACAAGGACGGTCTCCAGAGGAAACTCGGCAAGTGCATCTCAGGAGCGCCTTGCGAGGTGGGCAGACTGACAGACAGACAGACAGACAGACAGGCAGGCACATAGGTCAAAATGGCTGCGGTGGCCATTCATCTCTCTCTCTCTCTCTGCGTTTGTGTCCGCGTGTGTATCAGGTCGGTGAGCTGCTGGGTGTGTGGTGGCGGCCAAACTTCGAAGAGCTCATGGTCGGTTTGTCGAATGAATGGGTCGGAGGCTGGGCAGAGGGACATTCTTGTCACTGTGATGTGTGGGTCGGTCGGTCTGTCTGTCTGTTGCTCCTTTCTGGCATGCAGTATCCTTACCTTCCCGCGCACATCACCCGTCCCAAGGAGCAGCAGAAGCTCTACCAAGTCACCCTCACTAACAAATGTACCCACCCACACACACACACAATGGTCACCAGCTTGCAGTGAGTGATACCTATCCCTCTGTCTGTGTGTTGATGTGGTGTGATGGATGAACGGTGCAGGTACGTTTGTGCTGCCAGCGGGTCACACGATGATAGCTGTGTCGCTGACTGACCTGTATGATGGCACGGCCAAGTACGGCCCCCTGCACGCCTCCATCCCCTCTCTCATTAGCCGCTTCAACTTCATCTGCCTCGTCAAGCAGGACGAAGGCGGCCACTTGTCACAGCAGCACCACCAGCAGCAGACATGACAGGTGGTGGGGGTGGGGCTGGGGGCTGTGGGTGGGACAGGTGGTGGGAGATGAGTAGCTCGCTCAGTGAGGATATCGATGTGACCTTTGTCTGTTGATGCATGCCAACTGGACTGACTCATTGATGACTGACGGATTCCATGATGTGTGTTGTCAATGTCTGTCAATGACGTAGTGTCCACACAACCGGCTGACTACAGCCAACGAGTAAAGCTAAAACGCTGATGCATCTTAAGCTATATGACCCACCACTCCACCCCACCCCACCCCCCACTCTGACCCTTGCACACTCATGTATGTCAGCACTGTTAATCACTCATCTAGATCGATGGGATGCCGAGCGCCTCCCTCACCTGCGTAATAAATACAGATGCATGACCGTGGGTGCGTACACACGCGCCTCGCCCCCTGCCCACGCTCACCTGATCGTCAAATTTTGCCGACACGGCGATGAAGGCCACTCTCCGTGTGTTTGTCCCGCCGTCCTCCCCCTCTCCACCATCGCCATCGCTGCCGGCAGCGCTGCTGTCGTCCCCTGACGACTCGCTCGACAGATCATCATCCCCCTCCTCATCACCACTCTCGCTGTCTGTATCGCTGTCATCATCGATAAGGCTTTGGATCCTCTCTCTCGTCAGCCGCCCACTGTCCAAGTCAGCACGCAGGGCCTCCGACGGCATGGCTATCGGCGGTGCGGCACCGCGGGGGGGCGAAAACAGCACCTCGTTGCCTTTCTTCATGGCGGCCACAAGAGCCGCTGGCATGTTGTCGTCAACATCAGCATCCGGCGATGTCTGCCGTCGTCCTTTGAGTGGAAGGAGGGGCTCTGGTGGACGCCTCAGCAGCCGCCGTGTCTGTGTGGTGTCCCATGCTGCGCCCACGTCGTCGAGATAGGTGCTGACGGCCGAGAGGGAGGGCAGCTGGTGGTCTCGGTGTATGGCATCAGACGGCGTCCACAGCTCTTGCCTGTAGAATGCAGGGCATGACATGCGTGTATGTTATGCACACAACGGACACTTTGTATGTGCTGTACCTTTCTCTGAAAGTGAGCCAGTGGAAGTCACCGATTGGCCATATCGATGCAGCCTCGCCCCACTGCGCGGCAATTGCAGCGTCGGCAACCGCAATGTGGCCTGCATCAGACACGCACACACACGCCCAAACACACACACACACACACAGAGCAAGCAGGTATTCTGAGCTCTCCTGGTTGATTGTGCGGACTGTATCTGCTTACCGTTGGACGGCAGGGCCCGACCTCCCCTTTGCCTGAGAACAGTGTCCATCTGCTTGAAGAAGTGGCTGACGCGCTCACTGCAGCCAACCAATCACACACGACACATGAGTGAACGATAAATACGTGAGTGGCTGCCATCACTCAGATCCACCCACCTCCCATAAGTGGCAGGCTCGAACAGATCTGGCTCCTTGTTGATAAGCATGGCCTCGATGCCGTTGTCGAGCCCCTCCCCTCTGTAGAGCAAGCGCCCGGTCTGCCGTGCAAGGGCCACCATCTTGCGGCTCCATTTCAGGATGAGAAGCAATGCAACGGCGAGGGAAATAGAGGATGATGATTTCTCAGATTCACTGGCGGCGGCTGCTGACACACTGAGGCCGAATGCATTGAGTCCCATGCACCCAATCAGGCCGGCGATGGCTGCATGGTGCGAACGAAGCCGCATCCTTCGAGTGTTCGATGTGGTCACGGGTGACAGAACAGACTCATGATTCGGACGCACAAGGCGGCTCCTCAGCCTTGGACAGCATCGCTTTGGATCCAGCTTCATTCGCAGATCTCCCCAGGCTAAGCTCGCAGTTGGCGAGCTGGCGGGGAACGAGGCGTGCAGACCACAGAGATACCCGTCCGCCCATTCATCGCCAGCTGTGGCCGCATCTCTATCTGCCAGCAATGCGTCAAGATCAAGATCAGCTTTCACACGCACGGCCTTAGATCCACCGTATGGGCCCCTTGGTGGGAAGGATGAGAAGACAAGAATCGTTTCTTCAGCACTGCTCACAAAGATCTGTCGTCCTTCTGCTGTGCTGTCTTTTCTCCAGGTAAGATGACTGATTGAGGTTTCGCCGTACAGATCACGGGCCAGATCCTTGAGGTGCCGGGTGTCTTTCGGCCTTCTGGCATAGCGAAGAGCCTGCCCTCCTAATGTTCATCGGCTGACCATGATGCTGGCCGCGGTGCTGCAGCTCATCGTCTTTTCAGCTGTGCTTATCGTCCATGTGTCAGCCTTCACCCCCTCCCACCCCTTGGCCTCCCCCTGCCCTCGCAGACACCCATCCGCACAGGCAGCGGCGACACCGTCCGGAGCCCCCATGGTAGCACCCTTTCTCTCAACCACTCCCTCCTCTGTCCCATTGCCCCACTTCCCACTGGAGCCCCTGGTGCCTTCGTCCGGCCCGCTCTTGTATGATGCATTCGTGGCCGTGCAGCTGCAGAAGATGTCTGCACTTGAGGGCCTCACTGGCGTCCCGTTGCCGCCGGAGCTGGCGCAGAGGGAGAGTGACAAGACGGTGGTGGAGGACGATGGGGAGAGCGGTACGAGGCGGCCGCATGTACGCATCTCGAGCGCTTGCTTTAGCTCCAAGCAGTTTCGGAAGATCAGGATGACGTATTTCGGTCAGCATAGTGTTAAAGACCTACGCCGATCCACACACTCGTCCATGGCGCGACTCATCCGTGTGTGGCACCTGTGTCGGTGCAGACAGTGGTGCTAAGGGATTTGAGGTCTTTAACTCACTCTGGTACCCTTCCTTTAGTTTGGGGGCGGACATCCCTCCCCCCTTGCTGGGCGTCGACCTGATCAAGCTGTCCGACAGCAAGTACCTGCAAGTGATCGACGCACAGCCGCTTACCTCTCCCCCTCAAGACACGGAGAGCGCACCCGCCTACCGATCATTCTTTGAGCGTCTACGACGAAGCCGTGATCGCAACTATGTGGGCCTGACCGGGCGGATGTCGGCAAGGCACTATGACGAGAAGCGGTACTTCTCCTCGAGCATGCTGTACGGCCGCTTTGAGGATGCCAGCCACGTGGCTGCTTTGCTCTTTCCTGCCTTCTGTGAATACCTTTCCACCTACTTGGACATGGTTGGCTCTCTGAGACCGTGCTCGAGCACGTCGGTTGTGGAGCGGAACGAGGCCATGCAGCGGGGGTACGATGAGTACTCAGCGGTACGAGACCCGGTCCAGCCGGTGCTGGCGGCCTTCTTTGGCCATGAGTGGGCTGAGAGGTATGTGCATGACTTCCTGTTTGACCTGTCGTCAAGCACGTCGAGAGAAGCGAGAGAGGCAGTGGAGGGGTGAGTGTGGTTAGCTGGTGTTGTGTATGCATGTGTCTGTGTGTCTGTGGCATAGAGAGGGAGAGCATGAGTATGTCTATATATATGTGGAACACGTATGTCAAATTGGACGAAGTGAACTGAGTCGTCAGAAGTCAGGTCGCCATGTCTGTGTGGAAGTGAATACTCATTGCTACTCGAGCTGAGTGGTCGGCGCTACACCCCACAGTTGACCTGTCCTGCCATCCCTCACTGCTGTTGATGTGATATGGTCGCCTCCATCGATCCATCCATCTAGGTAGCCATGCCATGTACGCATCGCGTCCATGCATGATTCAAACAACCTGAAACGAACGCACGTGGACCGGTCGGTTGGGTGGGACAAGTGCACTCCACTCACTCAGCCAGCCACTCAAGATGCATGGGATGATGAGATCTTCCTACCTACCTGCTAAGTAAGTGCGCGTCCATCCACCTACTACATGCGAGCGGGCTTAGCAAACAAATGCAATGCAGCAACACACCACACACAAAAGGCAGACAGACAGGCAGGCAGACAGACAGATGGTGGCCACGACACACACGCATCCCTCTCTCTCTCTCCCTCGCTCTGACTCTCAGGTTGATGGACACCAGGCACAAGAATGGCAGAGGAGCGCTTTCAGTGGTAGTAGGATGTAGTCCATGTGTGTGTCTGTGCTGCTCATTGACCTGTCTCACTGACCTGGCTGTCTCGAGAAGAAACAAACGGAGGAAATGCTCACTCGCTCACTCAGCCACTCACTCACGCTCATTAAACTCGGATGTACGCGTTCATTCATTTGCATCGGCTCGGCACACTCACACTCACACACAAACAAACAAAACACTCTCGGCGCATGTGAAAGGGGCAGATTCTCGCCCAAAAACGATGCAGGCAAGCAGGCTATGTCTCTCCCTGACTTGATTGACTGACACTCACACACACATCTATATGTCGGTCGGCAAAGCAAACTCCAAATCAGCCACGCGCACGCCACACATGCAGGCAGCCACTCTGTCGTCCATCGGTTGATCTAGGGGAGAAAAAAGACAAAACTGGTCGGGCAGGCAGTCACCTCGCAAGCATTATCATATCTCTCTCTGCGCTACCAAGTCGAAAATTGAGGTATTCTTCCTGCTGCTGCTGCTGCTGCATGTCTGAGTCGGTCTGCCTGTGTGCTGTGTGGTCGCGTTGAGACATACGAGCGTGGGTGTGTTCTTACAGGACGACCAACAGAGACACACAGGCAGGCGGACAGGCAGGCAGGCAGGAAGGGAGGGCGGCAGGGTGATCAAAAAGGTGGAGAAAAAGAGGCAGACAGAGGTCAGTGACGATCGATCGACTGACGGACGCTCACGTATGCCATGTGTACGTATACGTTTACGTAGTGTGTGTGTATAAGAGTGTGTGTTCCCCCTTCCCCTTCCCCTCCCTTTCCCGCTCTCTCTCCGTTTGCATCTGTCTGTCGATGCGTCTATCTCCCTCTCCCTCTGTCTAGAAGTTGCCGTCCTTCTTGGCCATGTGCAGGGCCAGCTCCACCAGGCTGCACACACACACACGCCCATGTGTGCTGCTGATGCTTCCCTCTGTGTTTGTGTCTGTCAGTCTGCCTGCCTGTGTTTGTGTGCCCTCCCCCCCTCCCTGCCCCCGCACTCACCGGTTGGAGTAGCCCCACTCGTTGTCGTACCAGGAGACCAGCTTGACGAACGTGTCGTTGAGGGCAATGCCGGCCTTGACGTCAAAAATCGACGAGTGCGCGTCGTGCAGGAAGTCCTGGGACACAACCTCCTCGTGAGTCACGTCCAACACACCCTGACACACCACACCACACACACAAAACAGAGTGCTTCCATCCATCCATCCACCCCATTCGTCCGTCTCATTGAGTGTGTGTGTTTGTGTGTGAGCTACTGACCTTCATGGGTCCCTGGGCGGCCTTGGTGATGGCGGCGACGATCTGGTCGTATGTGGCGGGCTTGCCGAGCTTGCAGGTGAGGTCGACCACCGACACATCGATGGTGGGCACGCGGAAGGCCATGCCAGTCAGCTTGCCCTTGAGCTCGGGGATCACCTTGCCCACAGCCTTGGCGGCACCAGTCGACGACGGGATGATGTTGGCCGAGGCGCTGCGGCCGCCGCGCCAGTCCTTGCCGCCCTTGGAGGGGCCGTCCACGGTCAGCTGGGTCGCGGTCGTCGCGTGCACGGTCGTCATCAGACCCTCAACTGCACCGCACGCACACACACACGGAAACATTGACAGTGCATGCAGTTGTGTGTGGTGTGTTGTGTGTACCGATGGTGAATTCGTCGTTGATGACCTTGGCGAGGGGTGCGAGGCAGTTGGTGGTGCACGAGGCGTTGGACACGATCTTCAGGTCGCTCGTGTACTTGTCCTGCATGCGACAGATACACAACACCCGACACCAGATAGATACAGATGCGTTGCATGTGCCCTCCCTCCCTCCCACAACGGGCGACACGGTGTGTACCTACCGCGTTGACGCCCATGACGAACATGGGTGTGTCGTCCTTGGGAGGGGCCGAGATGATGACCTTCTTGGCGCCGCCCTTGATGTGCGCCTCGGCCTTGTCCGTCGTCGTGAAGATACCAGTCGACTCGCAAACGTAGTCAGCACCAGCCTGATCAACCGCACCACAACACACGACAGCACCACACCACACCACACCAGACCACACCAACACACGTGCACACGTGTTCGTCTGTCTGTGTGCTGGCTGAGACACTGGTGGTGAGGTAGGGTACGTACCTCGCCCCACTTGATGGATGCGGGGTCCTTCTCCATGTACACCTTGATCTCCTTGCCGTTCACGATGAACTTGCCGTCCTTGTTCTCAGCAGTCCCTACACACACACACACACACACACATACACACACACAGCGCATCAGAGCGTCAACGCGGCGCATGCAGTGGCAAGAGGCGTGCGTCGGTCTGTGCACTGTCGTGTCTTTCTGTCCGTCTCTCCGTCTGTCTGTCTATCTTGCCTGGGAAGCGGCCGTGGGCACTGTCATATCTGGTGGACAACAGCAGCAGATAAAGCAGATCTTCCCCACATGTGGTGGTGCCGGTCTGTGTGTCGGTCTGTCTGAGTGTCGTGGTCACTCCTCTGTTTACTTGAGCTGGTAGACCATGTAGTCGACGTCCATGAAGGGCTCGTTGACCGCCACCACAACCTGCACACACCACCACACGACCATACACAGTCATGTCGCACCCAACACACATGCACTCCAGATGTCCCCCCGCCACCCCCTCTTCTCTCCCCCACGCAGACACACACGCGGCCCAGAGAGGGCAGGCAGTCATCTCACTCACCGCGTCCTTGTTGTCCATGGCGGCACGGAACACCAGACGGCCGATGCGGCCGAAGCCGTTGATCCCAATCTTCACGGGCCTGCACAGGGGGAGGGGAGCCGGTGAGCATCAAGTGGGCCTGCGCACCCCTCTCCGCAGCGACTTACATGTCTGTGTGAGTGTGAGGGGAGACCGAGTGTGTCGGGGTGAGGGACTGGGCGAGGGACGAGCGGAAGCGGACGAGCGGAAGCGGACGAGCGAAGGATGGGGGAGCGAAAAGGCTCACAAACACGACAGGGGGAGGCCGAAAAGCGAAGAAAATGGAGAGGGGACGGGACTGCTGGCGATGGTTTCGCGCGCCCTATCCTGCTAGCAGGTGTACTGGCTTCCGATCTGGCTTTGAATCATCGCCACAGCAGAGAAAAGAGGTGAGCAACTCCCACAGACCACAGATGAACCAATGAGAAAGAGAAAAAGATGATGAGTTACACATTCTCGTTGTGCACGTGTGTGTGTTGCGTGTGTGTTCATGTCAGGCTTTGAAGAATCGCAGAAGGGAGGCCCTCGGCTCGGTGTTGGCTGCTTTTCCGACCAGGAAGCGTTGACCTGTCGACTTTCGTCTTTCTGCGTTCCTGCCGCCAGCTCCCTGCATTCCTTGTGGCGCCACGCCGAGATCTCCCTCCGCTGTCTGCTGTACTCCTGCAAAATGTCCGGGAAGCCCATCGACTACGGCCGCTGGGACAAGCTTGACTCGACGAGCGACTCATCCGACGATGGAGGACCTTCGGCTGCCAGCAGAGCGATGGCCGCGATGGCTCTCGACAAGCAGAAGCAGAAGAAGCAGCAGCAACAGCAGCGCGTGACGGCATCATCTGACGTGCCCTTCCCCTCTGCCTCTGCAGGTGGGTCACCGTGGGTGGGGTGGAAACGCAGACGAGACCACAAAACAGACATTAAGTGTGTCCTTGGTGTGTGTCAGAGATGCGTGGTCACATGGTGCCCGCGAGCCAGCAAAGGGAGGCCAGTCAGCCCGACTCGACGGCCGCCAGTTCGACTGCGGCCAGTCCTCGCGTGACAGGAGCATCTGACGTGCCCTTCACCGCTGCAGGTGGGTTGGTGCGCACCGCGCAGACAGGGCGGGAAGGGCATGCACGCAGGCCCTGATTGGCTCTTTTTCCGCTGTGCTGCCGTCAGAGATGCGTGGCTACAAGGTGCGCCTCTCTGACGACAGAGCGGCCTACCCGACAGAACGGCGCTGCGCCATGTGTGGGAAGGGGCCGCCTGCAGTGCCATCACTCTCCACGTGCGGCGAATGCCGGCTCGTCAGCTACTGCTCGCTCGAGTGTCAGCGGAACCACTGGAGGGCGGCACACAAGAATGTGTGTAAGGACGCCAAGACGCTGTCGAATGTGGGAGCCTTTCGGTACGACAACGAAGCCCCGGTCAAGTACGTGTACGGGATGATGTCCGAGGATGAGTTCTACGAGCTGCAGCGGCGCAAGGAGGACCAGATCATCAGCGAGCTGGCAAGTCGTCCCCTGACCAAGGTCTCGATGGGCCTGGTTTTGACGCGATTCCGCCACGTCAATATCGGCTTACTGAGCTACGTGAAGCGTGGGGAGCGTGACAGCCAGGCAACAAGTGCTGTGAAGGGCGCGAGAGTCTATTCACTCAAGGAAGACGCCTGCAGGAGCGGCGCCCTCCACGATTCGATAGACTATCCGACCTTCCGGTTCGCCCGCCTGTCGCTGGACACTACCCCATTCTCGGAGCTGCATCCTGACTCGCTCCGGTCGATGCTGGCCCGTCTGGTCCGCGCTGCGTCGAGGGCGATCGAGGACCTCATTCTCAGCTACTTTGAGAAGACCCGCCACTTGCCGATCTTGGACCCTCTCATCGAGGTCCGCAGCCCACTGGACATGCTCTTCTGGGCCGACAAGACCGCGACCGTCACGATTGGAGGCAAGACGTTCGTCTTTTATTTCTTGCCTGACATGCCGACCATCTGCACGGACGCCGTCGTCCATTCATGTATGCGCCTTTTCGGCGAGGACGTCACTGAGCAAGTGGGGCTGACGGGGAATGTGCATTTGAGCAAGTCGGAGCAGTTCCTCAAACGGAACCACTTGTAAGGATGCCGGTGCTCACTGCTGACATTCTGCGCGTGTATCTGTTTGTATCTGTGTGTATATCTGTGTGTGTGTGTGTGTGTTGCATACCTGGCAGGAAGGGCAACATCGTGCATTTCATGCAGCAGCACCACTTCCAGGAGTACGTGAACAAGCTTTGCCAGCGGGCGGCCACAAAGGTGCATGACGAATCAATCCCCTGTCCAGCTGGCTCATGTGCGCTGTCTGCCTGCCTGCCTGCCTGTGTGTCAGTCTCATCTCTCGTTTTCGACGGTCAAGGAGCGTCTGCTGGAGAAGGCCCTCGAGTACACAGACATCTTCAGGAAGCACCTGCTCGACTTCAGTGCTGACATGGCCGCCAACACGATGGGCGGCTGGACCCTCGCAGGAGCTCTCGGCGTGACCGACGCGCAGGTCCAGGCGGCGAGAGAGGAGGTGCAAGTGCTGAATCCGCGATATTGGCCGTACCTGAAGGTATGCACACTCACAGAGACGGACACAGACAGACGTGTGAATCACTCAGTGAGTGCCGAACGGGTATGTATGTCACTCAGAGCATGCGGGAGTCGCTGGCACACCCGCCGCCCGAGCACCACGCCCAGTCTGACGGCCGCATGCTGACGCTGGCCGACGGCGAGAGAGTGTCGGAAATAGAGATGATGCTCAGCACACAGGGTCTCATTTAGACAGGTGGATGGGATGGATGGATGGACAGATGGCGGGGGGGCAAGTGGGCTGGGGCCATGTGGTCGGTTTAAACCCAACTGAGTAGCTGCCTGTTCATACGCCAATTGACAGGCAGAGAACAGAGAGAGAGAGAGAGAGAGTGAGTAGCCACAAGCCTCTCTGGCTCTCTCTCTCACCCTCTCTCTCGAGTGGGTGTTGCGTGGTTTTATTCGTCTGTGCGTGCACTGGTCGTTTGTTTGTCGCTGTCTCGGTATCGTGAGTAGGTTGCTGGTGTCACTGTGTGGGAGTTATGACGACATTACGAAATCATCGCTGGAAATGTCTCTCCACTACGGACATGCGACACTCTCCCTCCACGGTGAGGGACGGACTGAACAACCCCCCCGCATCCAGGGAGGCTCATGCCACGTACAGTATCCTTGTGTGTGTGCGGTGTGGTGGACACCTTGGCCACAGCACACGTCACTCCCTCCGCATCGTCCCATGCGGAGAAAGACAGACGTACGCGAAGCCCCAGGTATCCCCCCGCACACCACACTCACGGGTGCCGGCTGGCTGCACACTGGAGCCCTCTCTTTCATGCATGACAAACGTGCCCACGCAGCAAACGCACGACAAAAGGACAAAAGTGACGGCCCGCCTCCAGACACGTCGCACACACATACCCACAGACAGACGGACAGGCAGACAGGGATGGCGAAAAACTGCGCGAGGTGGCTTGGCTGCTCGCTGAGGAGAGTGTATGTATGTATGTGTGTGCCTCTTCTCACTATAAGAAGAGAGCTGGGCTGTCTGTCCTGTCGTGTTGCATGCAATGCGTATCGACACGCGTCAGCACACAAATAGATAGTGAGCCGTCATCCATGGATGGATCCATGTTTGCTATCGACAGACAGAGACTCACTCAGAAATGGAGGAGAAAGGCAGGCAGACAGACAGACAGACAGACAAGGACACAGGTAGGGACAGGCACACACACACACAGAGAGAGAGAGAGAGGGGGGGGCATCCATCCATGCGGCACCAGACAGACAGAGTAGGAGACAGACTCACGTTTGTCTGTTTTCGGCTACTCCCTTTCCACGTGTATACGGCCATGATGCAGGGGGTGCGTGGCGCATGTCCCTTCGGGAGCTAGCCATCCATCCATCCATCCATCTATGCATCCATCACACACGAGCATCAAGACACGCACATTTGCATCCATCCACATGAACGCAATCAATGCATGCGTGGGGTGATACACGACACTCATCCACACAACACATGCTGTGCTGTGCTGTCACTCGGGAGGAAAACCCTTCACGGACCGACCACAACCCATCTCTCCCGCACTCCCTCACGCCCTCACTGACTCCAGTTCGAACACACGCGATCAGTCGCCGCCGACCTCAACCACTTTGCCGATGCACCACTCCAGCTTGCTCCAGCTGTTGCCCGTCAGCAACGGACCCTACAGCCACACACACATCCCACAACACACAACACCTGTGCCCACCCCTGTTGACATACACACACATGGGTGCGTACCTGCAGCAGCCGCCATGGCATCTGCCAGTAGAGGATGGCGAGGAATGGCAGCGGGTCAGACACCTCGAACCAGGCGTCGCGGCCAGAGGAGAGGAAGGCCACCCGGTCGGCGAGCTGCTGGAACGACCGCACCTTCCACAGCTTCATGACCTCCTGGTACAACTGCACACACCGATGCAATACATCGGCCGAAGTAAGTGGGGATCTGATCTGCGTGTGTGGGTGTAAGGGCGGTTGGTGTGATTGATGTACCCAGTAGACGTGCGTGTGGTCTTTGTTGGGCAGCATGGGCAGCTTGGCCTGGTTCTCCGGCTTCGTCCAGTGAGACGCGCCTGATCGATGCACCGCACCCATACGCACACACATGACATGGAGGCATTGCATTCACACATCAGACGCAGTAACTTACACACCCACAAACAAGCGTACCGTGCAGAAAAACCTCGCCGACGGCAGCGGCCTGGTCGTGGAATGCGACGCACGCCGAGTGCGTCCGGGGGTTGCACTCTATCACGAAGCACTCCCCGTCGCTCTCACGCACTATCACGTCCAGGGAAAACTGACCTGTTGACAAACAAGAGGAGAGCAGATGGATGGGTGGATGGCTGGCTACATGCATACCCACCGGCCGTGTTGAGGGCCGCGGCGAATTTCTCTGTCCAGTCGAGGATCTCCGGGACGTCGTCGTACTTGTAGTTGAGTTGTGCGGGCGATGAGAGGTGGCAGGTGTGGAGGAGAACCTTGCCGGCCTGTATGACGGACCATGTGCAGTACTCGGTGCCGGTGATCCACTGCTGTGCCTGCCAGGGGTCGCTCGGGGACGGGTGGATGTCACGAGTGTCCAGATAGTTGTCCAGCCTGCATGCGTTACATCCATCCATGTGTGTGTGTGCATATGTGTGTGTGTGTGTGTGTGTGGTTGTCGTGGCGAGGTGTCTGCTTACTCTTGAGGTGTGCATGGGAGGGTGAACATGTCGTATCTGCGCATGGGGTCGTACCTGCACCAGACAGCAGACAGACAGATGCGTGTGTGCATCGGCGCACTGGTGTTGTGTTGTGTCATGTGTCTGTGAGACTCACTCGACGTGCTTGAGTACATATCGGTCGTCCTGCACGAACAGACCCATGAATCAGCCAAAGACCATCCATCCATCCATCCGTCCATGTGTGAGGTGTTTCGGTGCGCGCGTGTGTACCTTGAGGTCCATTTTGTTGAGTTCGTGCAGCTGGCTCCTGGACGTGATGCGATAGGCCACCGGCACCTGCAGTCCCATCTCGTCACACAAATCCGTAAACTGACATACAGTACACCAACACACACAGCACAAGCACACCACACAACACGCACATATCCGCATCTCAAGACACAAGAACGTTCATGTGTGTCTGTGCACCTGGACTTTGTCGTCAAGCTTGCGCGTGAGTGGCGGGTCGAAGCACCAGGGTCGGCAGAATGGGGGCAGTCTGTCGCGGACCATCGAGTCCTCCACACTGGTCTTGACGTCACTCACAGGGATGTACAGATCGACCTGCACGGCACACAGACAAGGATGAGGATGAATCGGTGCAACACGCTCGTCCCGGCGCGCGAAGTCACCTTCTCCTGGACAATGATGGAGATGATCTTGTCCACATAACCTGGATATGTGGGTTCAGGTCACAAGTGACACGAGTGAGTGCATTTACCCATCCATCCGTCCGTGGCAGTCCATACCGTGAGGATCCGTCTCGGCCATCGGTGTGGTGTAATAGCCGTACACACACCCACTGAACTGAATCGCCGCCTGCACCACATCGATCAGCGCACGCCAAAGAGTCCGCTCGTCCGTCCGTCTGTCCGAGTCTTATGTGGCTGACTGACCGCCCAGTAGTTGTGGTTAGCGATGACGATGACATCGCAGCCCTGCCGATGCAGACACCGTGCTACCTGCAACGTCTTGGTCATCTTGCCACCTGCACCCACACACACGTGACACACACGATTGCTTACACGCATGTGGCTGTCCGCCCACCGCCCGCCCACCCACCGGTGAGCAGGGCCAGCCTCTTGTGCTTGCGCTTTCTCTGTGTGCCGAACGCCCACATCCACAGCGCCTCAGTGATGGGCCCGGTGAAGGAACCCAGCGACCCTCCCTTGACGAGCGTGTACGCCACCACACAGGGCGCGATGATGGGAAATGTCGACGCAATCCAGCCAACCATAAGGAGCGTCTTGACACGCATCACGAAGCGCGTCAACACGTTGTTGCGCGTCCCCACTGAGAAAGACAAGACCACCATGCCGCACACGACAATGCATGTGTGTGCTGTGCGTTGTGCGCTGATTCTCAGCTGGCTGACCATCGAACGAAAACATGATGGCAGGGAATGCGATGAGATAGATCACCCCGAACGCCACAACAGGCACTACCGGCAGCAAGGCTATCCCAAGCACCATCATCCCAGTGCTTGAGAGCGGCCAAAAGAGTTTGCTCACTCCACGCTTGGGCGTCGCTGCTGTGCTGTTCTGGGAGCCCTTGGATGCGCTGGGCGCCTGCACAGTGGGCGCCATGGCCCGGGGGCTCAACTGCTTGCACATCTCGCTCAGATAAGGTGGGAATATAGCGTGGAAAAGCGAGACGCAAGGCGCCACTGGCTTGCGAGCTTGAGCTCGCAGAAGAAAGGAGGTTAGGGTGCTTCGTGAAAAGCTGCGCGAGGTGGAAAAATTTGGAAGGCAAAAAGGCGTTTGCATGGGTTCCGTTCCGCCAACGCGCAGATCTGCAGCAGAGAGGGTGATCGGAGTGCATGAGCGTGCGGCATTATGCAGATGCATCATTCTGGGAGGACCGATTCGGATCTCAGAGCGGCGGCGAGGCCTTTGATTGGTATTGCGCCTATCGAGAGCTGAAAGAGCACTTCCACAGGCACTCGCCAGACAAAAATGCAGGCATCCTTATGGTAAGAACAGATAAGCACAAAGGAGGCTTCGCAACTCATGCACCGCCCTAAAATGCCTCTCTCCGGCACAGGTGGGGTGCGGCAATTCGCAGCTATCCAGTGAGATGGCGGCCGATGGCTACAGAAATGTGACCAACGTCGACATATCGCCCAGCGTCATCCGCTTGATGAAGCAGAAAGATGCGCACGGCATGGCCTGGGTGACCATGGACGCCACACACATGGCACTGAGGAATGGTGTGTTCGACATCGCCATCGATAAAGGTGAGAGTCCGCAGAGAGAGTGCATGAGGCAACAAAAGTGCTGCCATTCCATCCACATGGTACTTTATATGTGTGTGTGTGTGTGTGTGTGTTGTGTGTTCAGGCACGTTTGATGCTCTCTCGTGTGGCGATGGGAATAGGAGTGAGTTTGCCAGCACACCATCCACCGCCCTGATGGTCGCTGAGATCAGCCGTGTGCTCCGGTGAGACCAGCTGAGCTGACCACTCAGATATATGCAAACCAACAGACAGACGCGTACGAACCCCTCTATCTCGTCTCATGTGCGGCATGCAGGTGCGGCGGTCTGTTCTACCTGATATCCCACAGCGGCTGGCCCCGCCGGCAGGCGCACTTTCCCTCTCATCAGTGGGAGTTGGTGTACGCGTGTGAGGTGGAGCTCAACGATATGGCCGAGTTCATCAACATCCTCAGGTCCAAGGTGCACCCCAGGCCGCTGAGGGAAGCCTTCCTGCCGGAGAATGGACATATCCTTAAGGAGGCTGGCGAGGTGAGGTGAGAGTGAGACGAGCGCAGCGCATGCATTAATTGTTCTAAACAGACAGACGGACAGACGGCACACGTGACGTGACGTGATGAATGCATCTATGGTATGCTCTTGGTCTGTCTGTGCAGGAGTATCGGACAGCGATGCGTCGGAAGCTGCTGAGACGCTTATTTGCACGTATGGTGCTGCTGGGCTGGGCCAAGAAACCATCCATCCGTCCATCCATGGTCATTCCCGTATGTCTGTCTTCCGATCTGTCGATCTGTCCATCAGGCATCCGCCCGGCCCTCCGAAGACAACAAGAAGAGCAACAGCAGCCCACAGCACCAGGCGGCCTCTCGACCACGTCTGCAGATGACAACAGCCGGCGCAGAGATGATGGTTGCAGTGTCGGTCCGCCACCGATGCCATCAGATGGCTGTGCGACGGCTGAGCCGTCACCACCACCACCACCACCGGCTGCCGACACTCTAAAGCAGGGAGGTGGGAGTGTGGACGGGGCGGGTGTTGGTGCGTCAGGTCTGCGGCAGCAGTACTGCCATCTCATCATTGTCAGGAAGACCGCAGCGGGCGGATAGCCAAAGAGTGGAGAGTGTGCATATCACACATACACAGGCAGGGACGGTGGGGGATGCGTTGGACGAAAGCCAGCCAGGTTGACCGACCAAGGCCAGTCAGTGCAGTGAGTGGGTGTAGATAGATGCTTTCGGGTGCGTATAAAGACAGCAGCTGTGCGTGTGGTGTGTGGGGGATAAGATAGCTCAGTCAATGGGCACGTGTCTTTCTTTGCACATATATAGGTTGATAGATGCGGAGGGAGGGGCGTGTGTGCTGACGTGGCCGGGGTGTCCACCACACCACACACACACACATGGATACTGTCTGTACATGGCATGAGCCTGCCTGGATGCGTACATGTTGTGCAGTCCGCCAGGGCGGGAGAGGTTGATCTTGTCCTGATCGAGTCCTTTGGTGATCGATTGGGGGCGTTGCACGCCAGTTGCTGACTGCTGATGGATGCGTTCATGGCATGAATGAGACCCACACATCCCATGCATCCTTGATGTGAAGACAAATGAAATGCGCGTCACCATGTAATGAATGGGGCTGCCTGTCCGAAGGCTGTTCGATAAAGAAAACATTTCCTCATCGTCGAACAGCGAGGAGGAAAAGGATCGCTTGGATCGCCAACTCGACTTGCGAGCTTAGCGCGCAGTCCGTTCTCGAAAACAAGAGAAAAACCGCCACACCACCCACCTTAACAATTGAAGGCCATTTGCAAAGGAAAGAGCTCTCCGCGGTCACGAGCCTTCGGGAACTTCGCGGCCCCACTTGGAGCTGAAGGTTCCTTGTTTCGACGATAAGGATGGAGGAGCGGATCAAGGGAGGAGAGGATGTGGTGCGGCAGTGTGTCAAGGACTGGTCACATAAGTAAGCACACCATGAACACGCGCAACGCAATGGGGACGGATGAACAAACCGCTCATTGCATCCATTCACTTCATTCCCTCAGGTACATGCATCGTGTTCATTTCCTCGGCGAGCACCTCGACGGCACCAGACTCATGTAATGCATCTTCATGGACACTCGTCGGCTCAACACGTGTCCTCTCTCTCTCTCTCTCTCTCTCTGTGTGTGTGTGTGTGTGTGTGTGTGCAGGTATGAGGTGATATTCAGTCTGCCGGAGCCTCATTGCCCCGTCCCCGTGGCCGTTGTGCGTGTCTTCTTCACACTCATCTTCGACTCGTCACCCCTGCCGGGCGTCCACGAGGAGCCGCACCTCACATATCGCTTCGAGAACGAGACACTCGTTCACGACCCCCACGGCACCCTGGCAAAGGGCAAATTCGAAGTCTGGATTGACAGGTGTGGTGGCTCTGCCTACACTCAATCAGGATGTGTGTTGTGTGCATCGACTGCCCTGCCCCATCCATTCAGGCTGATCCGGGACAAGCTGAAAGTGCGAAAGCTGCGAGACCTCTCGACAGCGTATAGATAGATGGAGACGAGAGAGCATTAACCGTTCTCGTTTCCATTCTTTGCAGCTTCGAGCAGTCTCGCTTGGTCCCTCCGCCAGACGTAGAGCCCGAGGCGCCACCAGAAGAAGAGGCGGAGATATCGCCCAGAGAGGCCGCCATTGAGGCGGAGGCGATCAGAGAGGAGAGGGAGAGGGAAAGAGAGAGGGAGGCGGCTGCTGCCGCTGCGGCTGTAGGCGAGGCAGCCGAGGCGGCCTCTCGCCGCGACAGCCGGCTGACGTCTCAGCCGTCGATGCCGCTGGAGGAGCTGCTCACCAATATATTCGATGCAGCCGATGAAGAAGACGAAGGCAAGCAGTTTTCTACTGGGTGCACTGCATGCACTCATGCACTCATGCACTCATGTGCTTCCTTCAGGTCTGTTGAGTCACAAGGAGGTGAGTGAGCTCTTGTACGCGACGCCTCTTGGCCTGACCGACTGGGACATTCGTCTGCTGCTGACAACTACCATGGAAAACGCCGACGGATACATCGACTACCTCCCTTTCGTTGAAGTAAGCAAGTTGACAAGCAAGCTCGTGTTGGATATTGCCATATACATGCCATCCATCCATCCATCGACCCATCAGGCGGCCCCAATGGTCATCTCAGCTTTGCAGGAACGTCGCGAGGCGTATGAGTCTCGCGGACTGCCTGCGGCCGAGGTCACAGACGAGGCCATCATACTGTGCTTTGGACAAGAGCTTGAGGAGACCACCAGGTAAGGTAGAACAGCAGAAAGAGCGACCCCTTGTCTCCGCTGCGTGTTTATGCTGTGGGTGACTGTTCATCTTTAGGTTAATAGAGGAGTCGTTTCGCAATGTTGACAGTGCTGGCACGGGAATGCTGACGAGACACGAGTTCAGGCAATGCATCGAACAGAGAAGCGACAGGTGAGTAGATATTCACCTCACGGAAAGCACCCACCAGAGACCCAGCTCCGCTCCCTTTTTATGCAGGTTCAGTCCGCAGGAGGTGGCGATGTTGATGCAGATGGTCGAGGAGGAGGAAGACGGACGAATGCCGTACAGTGGCATTTTCGGACAGCTGCAGAAACTCAGGTAGCCATGCAGATCAATCAACATACACGGAGTCGGTGGATGGATGGATGGATGCACTTGTCTCGTCAGGCGTGATGCGTTCCACAATGCGTTAGTTGAGACGGACCTGCGGGGCCTCAGGCACCACCTCGTGCAGCTCATCAGGAAGGTGCGTACAAACTGCCTGTGTGTTCGCGTGTCTCATGTGCACGTCTCTCTACCTGTCTGGTCGTCCCCTGCAGTCTCAGGTGACCTATGACTTCAAACTGCCGATCTGGACCATTCGCGACATCCTCTTCAACGCATCACAGCTCTGCCTCTCCAGAATCCAAATACACGTAGGCACACACACACAATCTCCCATAAGTCCACACACAAAGACGCGTGGTGCTCCTCACCCTGCACCCACCCACACATGCACAGGTGCTGTTGTCGATTCTGATGCCCGACCCCTATGGCCAAGTCGACTGCCGCTCCTTCCTCCGCGTGGCGTGCACGGCCATCAGCCAGCTGTTCGACACACAGCGATTCCGCGAGTTGGCTGACCAGATAGCCAGGGAGAAGGCTGACGAGCAGGAGCGTGCTGAGTTGGAGGAGCTGCAGGGGCTGACGGGGGGCGTGCGGCTGAAGTCACGACACGTGGAGGAAGACGAAGAGAGCGACGAGGAACGGGTCAGTGTGTCTGTGCGAGAGGATTGTCAAAGTAGGGGGGACATCCACGGGTCTGGTGTATGTGTGTGTGGGTGTAGGGGGCTGCTCCTGACAGGGAGACGGTCGAAAAGAACCTCATCCACTTGTTCAACGTGCTAGACGAGAAACACAGAGGTGCGAGTGTCGGCACACGAGACATCATACCACAGGAATGTACAGTCTCCCTCTGCGTGGTGCAGGCACGATTGATGTGGGTCAGCTGCTGCTGGCGCTGCGCAAGGGAGAGGACGCAAATGCAAGGCATGGCAGCCACGACAGACACACAGAAGAACACAGACATTGTTGTGTGTGTACGGTTGGTTGCATGTATGTGTGTACGGCCTCTCTTTGCAGGTTCCAGGAGGTGGTGACGCAGTGCCAGCTCTCCGATGCAGAAGTCAGAGGGTTCGTGGCTGAGGTACACAGACAAACAGGCGGGGAAGAGAGAGTGGATTGACCACACACATCCATCGACGCCGTCGTGTGTGTGCAGGCGGTGATCGACGACGCCAACGAGATAGCCTACGTCGAGCACGTCAAGACATGGATACCCATCATTCTCGAACTCAGGAATTAACACACGCACCACACACTGACTGAGGGGGGATAAAGAGACACAACACACACACCCGCCCAGATCCACCGTCTCTCTCTCTCTCTCTCTCTCTGTGTGTGTGTGTGTGTGTGGATATCAGGGGTTCTCGTGTGTACGAGCCGTTGCTGTCTCAGGAGTGGACGGATGAGAGCGGCCTGCTGCTCGACCTGTCCGTGTATGAGATGGAGGACCCACTCGAGCTGGGCGACGCTTCCGAGGCCATGCAGGGCGAGGCCATGGACGACGAGCACGGCGCCGACGAAGAGGAGGCATGACGGATGGAGGCTTGAATGGATTGACACGTCGCTGTCAATGCATTGATGCATTCGACTACTCAGTGTTGGGTGGGTGACCGATTGTTGGATGTCTTCAGAATTCACTTTGGATTCAAAATCGGCAGCCTATCTCCGTCCACCCAACGCATTGCAACAACACATGGGACAGACAGGTAGTGAGTCGAGCGAGCACGAGTGGACACATCGACTCGACACACACTCACACAACACACAAGACAGCACACACGCATATTAGGTCTGTACAGTGCCCTTGCCCTCCTTGCCACTTTCGGCCGGCCAGTCACCCTCCTTACTGACCTATCGCGGCCTACTCGTCGCGAAAAAGGGCGCCGGGGGGGTTTCTCTCCTCACCCGCCGGACACACCCCCGACGCACATACACAAACGC